AGGAAGTGCGCGCCGCGGCCCCTGCTGAACCGGTCGAGCAGCGCCGCGGGGCTTGGCTTCGCTTCCCCGACGCCGCCGGCCCGGCTCCCAACCCGCTCGGCTTGGGGGCGCGGAGCCGGCGCCAGGGTCGTGGCCGGGCGGAAGCTGCTGGCCTTTGCTTGAGGTCGCGCCAGGGCCGGCAGAGGTCGCAGCGAGCAGGGCCATAGCCCCGGGAAGCCGGGCAAACAACGGGATCCGGGCTCGGACGTGCAGGCTGGCAGGGCCTGGCAGGCTACCAGGCTCGCAGCACGCCTAGCACGGACAGGGAAACCGAGGCCAGGGAAGGGAGGGGCCCTGAGAACCTGAGGCCAAGCGGGGCCACAACCACAGAGTTGGATCCTGGCTTTGGGGGAGGTATCTGAGGGGCCGGGCCTGGGCCCCATTGACTGCAGGTTTTCAGAACAGAGACCCTCGGCCATGCAGCCTCCCCCTCCCCACCCCCTTCCCCCGCCACTGGCTCTAATTAACCAGTTTGGAGGATGAAACCGGCCTGAGCCCCCGCGCCGTGCGCTGCCAACTCGTCTCTCCCCTTCCCCCGGCCTGCACAGACCTCTCCCTATCCCATCCTTCCAGGAGGTGGGGGGTGGCGGGGTCCGGGGTGGAGTACAGGGAGCTGGAGAGGAGGCCATCTGGGCGGCTGGTGCCCAGGGAGCAGAGAGGGGCACGGAGGCAGGGCTCCACCCTGGCAGACAGGTCCAGCTGGAAGGCCCAGCCCGGCTTCTCTGGGCCCCGCTGTTGGCTCCATCGCTGACTCACAGCCGGCAGCCCCAAACCACTTCCCTCTTGGTGCCTCAGTTTCCCCATCTATAAAATGGGAGTGGTGACTCCAGCCTGGGAGGCTGGGGGTGGGGCTGCCTGGCTAATTAAACCAAGATGAAAGAGGCCAGGAGGAGAGCAGCTAGGGAGGTAGGGCTGCCCGGCTGTAACAAGGAGCCTGTCTGGTTCCCCCGTCTGAGGCCCAGAGGGTGCTAACTGCACAGCCTGCCTCACCACTCACAGGGAGGGAGGGACAATTATAGACCCCTTTTACAGTTGAGGAGACAGGCTTCAAAGGGTCAGGAAGCCAGACGCTGGCTCCAGCCCGCTTAGCCTCTGACAGCATGGCCTCCACCAACGGCCAGCCTCTCTGAGCTTCCGTTTCTTGGGGATGAGGGTCTGGAGGCAAGGAACCATCTGTTTAAGATCTGCTGCCAAGTTCCTGATGCAGTAATGGGTGCACCCATATTGAGTCAGTGAGACTCACAGCCACCCTGAGAGGTGGGTACCATTCCCCGAGAGGAAGGGCTGCCTAGAGGGGTGCCATCACTTGCCCAAAGTCATGGAACTCCTAAGAGGTGGAGCTTGGAGTTTGGCAAATGGCTACTCACTGCCACAGCTGGCCACAAGCCAGCTATCCTCAGCCCTCTTGGGTCCACGTCCCTGGATGGGCCCTGCTCGTACCTGCCCATTCAGGTGTCTCTTCTCCTATGGCCAGGCACAGAACTGAGCTCAGCCCATCGACACAGAGGGATGTTCCCGAGTTCCCAGTCAGCAGGTCCACCCCCAGGAGTGACCTCCCAGCCAGGAGGGCCGAGGTGTGGGCCACAGCCAGGGGGCTAAGCAGGACCTTCCCGTTTGGTACCCCATTCCTTCTCCTGCTGGGTTACCGGCCTTCTCAGAGCAGCCCAGCCCTGGAGCGACCTAGACGACAGGGACACTTAAAAAATGACCCAACGTAGCAGATGTACGTGAGGTCCCTGAACTGTACACAGAAACATGATTGGCAAGTTTTTGTTATATATTGTTTACTACATAAACGTTTAAGAATTTAGTGAAACTATACATATTTCTCTTCATCAGTATGTTGTTGTTGTTGTTGTTATTTGCCATCAAGT